CTGATCTTGCATTACAGATGCAAGGGATAAATACAAACACCCATTTGTCTTCTCTGAGTCATCCAGTACTTTGCATCCCACACAGCAAGTGCCCAGGCCAGACACTGTGTATATACACCAGCTGTGCAACCTGTGTTGTTTACAAGATGTGATCAACCTTCATTCATTCCTGCCAGAATCTTGCGTGCAGAAGAAAAAAAAATGCAGATATGTTAGGAAACTTGGCAAGATGGCAAAGCCATCCTCCCTTCCTCATATAAAATCCTTGTCCAGGATCACTGGGCCTACATATTGTACAAAGAGCAGGATGTTAGCACCTGAGGAAAAAGAAATACATGGGTGAGATAACCATCGTGATCAGTGCTGAAGCACCTAGGTAGGTGCTTCAGGTAGTTCTAGGTGACCATCTGTAGCATGCTGTTCTTTCCCTTTCTCTTTCAGTGATGATGGTGCATGTGGTACAGTGCAGTGTCCAAGAGGGTCTTCAAGTGCTGCATTGTGCTAAGAAACAAGAGCTATGCACTGGTATCAAAAACTGTCACTACAACTTCACTGTCACTACATCAGGCTGCCCAAAGCCCCATCCAAGCTGTCATTGAACACCTCCAGGGATGGGGCATCCACAGCTTCTCTGGGCAGCCTGTGCCAGTGCCTCACCACCCTCTGAGTGAAGAATTTCTTCCTAACATCTAATCTAAATATACTATCTTTTAGTTTAAAGCCATTACCCTTTGTTCTATCACTACATGCCCTTGTAAAAAGTCCCTCTCCATCTCTCCTGCAGGCCCCCTTTAGGTACTGGAAGGCTGCTCTAAGGTCTCCCCAGAGCTTCTCTTCTCCAGGCTGAACAACTCCAACTCCCTCAGTCTGTCTTTATAGAAGAGGTGCTCCAGCCCCTCGATCATCTTCATGGCCCTAATCTAGGCTCATTCTGATATAATAATTCCATGTCCTAGTTCTTCTGGGCGCTCCAGAGCTGAACGTAGTACTCCGGGTGGGGTCTCAGGAGAGCAGAGCAGAGGGGAAGAATCACCTCCCTCACCCTGTTGGCCACAGTTGGCTTTCTGGGCTGCAAGTGCACATTGCCAGCTCACGTGAAGCTTCTCGTCAACCAGCACCCCCAAGTCCTACTCCTCAGGGCTGCTTGCAATCCATTCTCCACCCAGCCTGTGTGCTGCTTGGGATTGCCTCAGCCCAGATGCAGGACCTTGCACTTGGCTTTATTGAACCTCATGAGGTTCACACAGGCCCACCTCTCAAGCCTGTCCAGGTCCCTCTGGAAGGTATCCCTTCCCTCCAGCGTGTCCACTGCACCACTCAGCTTGGTGTCATCAGCAAACTTGCTGAGGGTGCACTCAATCCCACTGTTCTTGTCACCAACAAAGATGTTAAGCAGTGCTTGTCCCACTACTGACCACTGAGGAACACCACTTGTTACTGTTCTCCACTTGGACATCAAGTCCTTGACCACAGCTCTTTGAGTGCAACCATCCAGCCTATTCCTTACCCACTGAGTGGTTCATCCATCAAATCCACGTCTCTCCAATTTAGAGACACAAATGTCGTCTGGGATAGGGTCAAATGCTTTGCACAAATCCAGGCAGATGATGTCAGTTGCTCTTCCCCTATCCACCAGTGCTGTAACCCTATTGTGAATGGACACCAGATCTGTGAGGCACAATTTGCCCTTAGTAAATTCCAGTCTCCTGCTGAAATTAACATCATTCTGGTTACAGGCAAATATTTTGTGCCTAAAGAGTAAAGTTGTTGCCCCTGTACCGGTATACTGGCCCTGCCCTCGCATTCCTTGGAGGCAACAACAGAGAATATGAATTTAATATATTAAGAGTGGGGCAGGAGGGACAGTGGGATACTGGTAGTGGTGAACTGCACTGCTGGAGAGTGGCTGGGATCACTCATGGCCTGATTCTGTCTGTACCACTGTGGTGATAGTGATACTGTGTTTTGTAAAAGCACAGATGAGGCTGTGGATATAATTGCAGACTCCTTGTGCTCTCTCATCTGACCAGGTCCAGGCCAGGACCAAGGAGAGAGCCTCCATAAACAAGGGATTCAGTGGAGGAGCTGCAATTTCTTACCAGTGCTCATTAGTTCCCTTCTTCATGAGGAATTCAAACCACATCACCACAATTTTGTGTGTTTCTATAACCTCTTTATATGGCACAATAGTTTCTTTTGACTGGCAGTGCTGAAAACCATAGGAACATTAAACGGAGCTGAGCACAGATCCTTTTACATCATCTGGGAAGAAGGAAGCCTCAGTGCTGCCCAGATGATTTCCTGCACATCCTGGCCTGCCTACAGACCACACCATGCTCCAGCAGTCCAAGGTAACTGTGGTGTCCTGGCTTGTTTGCTGGAACACCTGGAGATGGAATGTTTGATGCTGGGCAGTCGCTGGAGATTTGTTCCCTTCCAGCAAGTAGTGATCTCCGCTCAGCCAGGCGTGACATTGGTTGTCCTTGGTAGCTAGTGAGACAACAAGGCAGTCGCCAGGTAGGTTGCACACAGAGATCACACTCCACATTTCTCCTTCCTGCAAAGAAAAAGTAGAAGAAAGAAAAAGGAAGAAGAAGAAGGAAGCAGATGAAGGGGAAACCTTGTCTAGACAGTGAGATATTGATTAGACCTTGGGCGGTTTGGTTTGGAGAAGTGAAGGCATGCAAGTGCTGGCTAAGGAAGAAGCTGGGGTCTTGGCTTTGTGATAATGGAGCATTGCAAAGAGAGATCTGTTTTTTTGTTTGTTTGTTTGGTTGGTTGGTTTTGTTTGTTTGTTTGGTTGGTTGTTTTTTCTCATAATTTGTTAATATGTGTGGTGGCTGTAAAACCTACAGAGAGTTGCCAAGCTCTGGCTTCTGCAAAATAGGTGTATTACTGTACCCCCTTCCCCAGTCTCTAGCTGGCACCCCTGTGTGAAACAGAGTGCCAGGGACTCAGGCAAGCTTGGTGAGCCTGCATGGGCACCCACATGTAGGCTTGCATCAGGCTGCATGTATTTTTTCAGGGAAGGTGGCATTTCCTTCTCCTTTCTGTTGCCCCTCACAGAGAAGGTAACAGGGAAAGAAAAACACAGGGAGGGCAGACTAATGAAACAACTCTATTTTGGCAGGATAAGTTTTGACTGTGAAGCTAGAATTTGCAAGACCTGACCACTGTGGGTATGTTAAAAATCCCTAAGTTAGCTGCACACACATCTCAGAACTTGATTTTAAATCTATACCTGGAACCTGCAGCCATCTGACCACTCCTGGTGGTTCCACCATTTTATTCCTACCCATAACTGCACCTGAAAACTGGGAAGAGGGGGAAGCTCCAAATTTTTTGAAAGGAATTGTCTTGGTATTGCACGTGGAAGCATAGCTCCTGTTGGGGTTAGTACAGGAGAGGAGAAGGCACAGCATCACAGGTGCTTGCCTAACACTTGTTGCAGGAATTGATGGAGAAGAGTCGTGTTAAGCCATCCATCCACCTGGCTTTAATTCTGGGAATAACTGGGAGCTGTTTTGCTATGGCATCATCACCTGTTGCACAGCTTCAGGACCCAGAGAGCACACAGTACTTCAACCATGCTCCCTGTCTTGTGCCTAACAAGGGGGACGGAGGGAGGGAGGGAGAGGACTTTGTGAGAAGACGTACAGAAAAGCTGGTCACTGTTCAGAAAACTTCCTGTCATGGCACTATGTAACAATTCTCCCAAATCATCTCATTGGTTTGCAAAAAGACTGTGTTGTTTTTGTTCTGAACTGAAGCCTTTCTGTCCTTGTTACAGCACTGCACAACTTTTACAGCAGGTTATGTGCACCCTTCAGCTGACTGCACATGCAAAGTTTCAACAGCTTGTCTGATCTTTTCTTCACTCTGAGGCATTCTGGAACAGCTTATTCTTGAAAGAAATTGCTGGGAGCTGTTCTGCATGAACAGTTCAATGTAGCGAGAAAATAGAGTTTAAACTAATGCTGCACCTGGATGTGGACCCTGGTCTAATTTTTGTTCAGGGATAACAATAATGCTGCTTGCACTCAACTGGTAAGGCAAAAATATATGGAAACAGGATCATTGTGTTTAGCTTTCACTGCAGTAATACCTCAGTTGTTAAGTTGCTTCACATAAATGATATTGCACACCCTGTTTCACAAAAAACGGCTGTGGCTGTGCCTTTGCAGTCACAGCTGAGGTTGAATCACACAGCAAAGAACAGGAGAGATGCTCTGCTTCTCACTGCTGTCCCTCCTGCCTTCAAAGGCTGTATTATACGCTCCCTCCAGTGGATGGAAATATCGTCTTCATCTGTCTTTTTTCAGGGCAGATTAGCAGTATTTTCAAGAGGGAATCTGGATGTAGGGAGGACTTTGGACATATCCTGCTGGGAGGGGAGGAAGGAAATCCATTTCCCTCTGGACCTTTTCATTGGCCAACCCTAGTGTCAAAGACAACAAGGATGCTCTGACTGAATTTTAAAACTTTCAGGTTTATTAATTAATTTATTTATTTTATTATTTTTTAATTTTTAAATACATAAAGTTGTTAAACATGCATTCTTTGCAGACTCATGAGAGAGTCTCTTGCCACACTCAGTGAATTACCTGGAGTTACCTGGGAAAATACACTTTCCTCTACTCATTTAGAGGACAGTCATGTTTCTGCCAATGCAGGGGTTGCTGTACCTCAGTTTATGACTCAAATGAAAAAAAGAGGTCTGAAAAATAAACAATAGGAGTCTTATTCCAACACAGTTATCTAGCTGGTTATTATCTGAAATCAGAGTTGTTTTATTGCTTTCAATCAGATAATTAAAGGTAATGAAATCGTTGCCTATTATCGTGGCAAAATCTGTCCTTAAATTAATGTGATGATTAAAGAGAAAGGTGATGCTTCTGCTGTAGCCAGACCAGTGAGCTCCTGTTTTTGTCAGAAGCTGTAATTGCCTCTGATGCATTGTTCCTATTGTAAAATGTCAACTTATCTCTGTTTTCTTACAGAATGAAGAGGCATAAGTGTCCCTACAGATGTCCCACAAGAAGGAAGATTCTGATTCTGTGTTTCACGGGGTGGGTGATTGCACTCCTGAAACTCCTCCATGTTGAAAGACATTTTTTTCCATCTAAGGGCATTTATTTGGTTGAGCACTTCTTGAGCACTTCTTCTTATGTTAGAAACAGGTATTCCTACCTTAGAAATCACTTTCAGTATGAAATTAATTGTTCATCTATATATGAACAAGATCCCCAAGAAATTGGCAAGAGTTTAGAGATAAGAAGAAAAGATATAATCGATTTAGATGATGCAGATATCATAGCAATGACGAATGATTGCCACATTTATCGCACACTTAGGAAATACCACCTAAAACCTGTTTCTCCAGAGGAAGAGAATTTTCCATTAGCCTATTCTTTGGTTGTTCACAAAGATGCAGTAATGGTAGAAAGGCTCATACATTCACTGTACAGTCATCAAAATATATACTGCATCCATTACGACCAAAAAGCAACAAAAAGCTTCAAATCTGCTATGAACAATCTAGCTAAATGTTTCCCCAATATTTTCATTGCATCAAAACTGGAGACAGTGGACTACGCACATATTTCAAGGCTGCAAGCAGATTTCAATTGTTTGTCTGATCTGATGGACTCTACAGTTCCCTGGAAGTATGTTATTAACTTGTGTGGCCAAGATTTCCCTTTGAGGTCAAATTTCCAGTTGGTTGCTGAATTGAAGAAACTCAATGGGGGAAACATGCTGGAAACCGTAAAGCCAAGCAGCAGCAAAAGAGAACGATTTACTTATCACTATGAACTTATGAAAGTGCCTTACGAATACATGCAGATGCCTGTGAAAACCAACATTTCCAAGAACCCGCCACCTCACAATATTGAGGTGTTTGTAGGCAGTGCCTATTTTGTTTTAAGTCGAGCTTTTATTCAGTACACCCTCAGAAGCTCTCTTGCAAAAGATTTTTTTGATTGGTCAAGGGATACCTACTCTCCGGATGAACATTTCTGGGCCACTCTTGTACGCGTTCCTGGGGTGCCTGGGGAAATTTCGAGGTCAGCCCAGGACATCACAGACCTTCAGAGCAAAACTCGATTGGTGAAATGGAATTATCTTGAAGAACATTTATATCCTCCATGCACTGGTACCCACCTTCGCAGTGTCTGTATCTACGGAGCTGCAGAATTACGATGGCTTATGAATTATGGGCACTGGTTTGCCAATAAGTTTGACTCCAAAGTAGACCCCGTCCTGATAAAATGTTTGGCAGAAAAACTGGCAGAGCAACAGAAAGAGTGGGTTTATTTGTCCTCTGACAAATATTTTCTGCGTATAAGTTCTGTGAATACCTCGCTATAGCAGTACCGCTCTCCCTGCTCTCAGTATTGTGTACTGCTGCAGCAAGGGGCCTGGAGTTCTGCCCTGACCTGCTGCAGGAGGCTGCCAGGAGAACTGCTCCTTCTGCACAAGGTCCAGGGCTCTGGGGAGATGTGTACCTGGCCACCTATTTATGAAAAGTCATGTCTCTCTGGTTCACCATTTTGTAACTTTCTACAACGATCCTGTTACTGTTCTTCAAGGTGATTCTGGGAGGGTAAGGTTTGCTTTTGGAGACTCTGGCACTATCCTAACGAAATATTCCAGAAATGTTTTACATCAAGCGTGTTCATGTCTTTCTTAAGGAACCCCGCCGTGCCTGTTTGCCTTTCCCCTTTTCCTTCATTTTTGTTTTTCATTAAGGTGTGAATCAAAGACCTCTATATCTGCTACCTCAGGAAAACTGGAAGTGCCCAGCTCACAGACAAAGCCAAGAGAACGACGCGACACCACGAGCCATGTGGCCTCCCCAGCCAGCCTGAAGCCCCAAACTCCCCCTCTGTGGGAGCGAGCAGAGTTCTCTGTAACGTGAATGTGGCTGGATGGCACAAGGAGAAGAAATCCTTGGACACCACATTGCACTTGGCATTGCTTGCTTCTCCCAGCTCATCTGCGTGTTGTCTTTCTTTCTGTGGAGTGTGTGTTCAGGGGCTGTGCCACGCATGTGGAGTGGGTGGTGGTGGATTGAAAACAGCCTCTGTGAACATGCGTGAATAATGCACTACTCCTCTTCAAGGGTAGCAAGGGTTTGTCCTAATGGCAGCCCTTAAAAGTAGATACCCATGCCAAAAGATGTCTGCCTTCATATCTATCCCTGCCAATAGAAATACCCTCCTGTGAAATCCCAGTCCTTTTGGGACGGTATTTTTACACATGGTGGATAACAACTGCTATTTCTAATTAACACTGAGTAGTGTGGTGCTATGCGGAAACACAAAACACGCTACATCCAGCAGCAATCATCAGAACAGCCATGCTGCAGAAATGCGGGCCCTGTGTAGAAGTGGCTTTCTGTGCAAGTCTTACAGCCTCACACTGCCATGACCCCAGGCTGATGTCCCTACTTTAGAGCAGTTCAGAGTTATAGCAGCCGTCCTTCAGGCCACCCATGCTTCCCAAGGCCCGTGTCAGGCCTGCTGGTAGCAAAGGGGTCGGGTGGCTTCCTCTCAGCTGGGCCGCCACACCACACGCTGAGGGAAACCTTGGTCAGTGCAGTACTTGTGGCTAAGAAATGCCCCTTGGCATTTTTGGGGATTCTCTGCAATGTTGCTTTGCCACCAGCTCAGTTTTGGCGGTTCCAGAGGACTCCACAGTCTAGCTTTCCCGGTGTTACTGTCCCATTTCTATGCACCTGGCTCTTGTGAAAGGCACCCATGAGATGCCACAATAATGATCATGCCCTGTACCCACAAGAAAACTTTGTTTCTTCTTTGAGTTGAAGGAACCAAGTCATTCCTTGGTCTGGGATTTTGTTTCTAAGTGCAATCCTGGTCAGCTTGTTTGTGGCTTGAGGTTGGGTTTGAATCAATAGTCATGGGCCTTTTCCCCCATTTGTGACACTGATTTCCTATGAGTTCTCAGACGAGTCATCTGACTTTTCTGTTCCAGCTGTAAAATGGGAACAACAATGCTCTACTACCTTGTTAAGCACTTACAAATGTATGGATGATGTCTGTGGTGGGTTGTTTGCACAACAGTAATTGCTGATCAAAACCATTGATGAAGTTTTGTGTGTGTGCAGGTCAAGTATCTCTTTGATGTACTGTTTCTCAAATAAATGGGGATTATTTTTAAAGTGTGTGTTTGTTATTTCGGTGATTTACCATGTCTGCCCAGGGCTGTTCTGACTTGACTGGAGTTATAGAAATTTTGTAGAATATGAGATATTGGCGGTATGTACAGATTCATACATCAGTACTTATATATAAAAGTAGAGGATTCCACATGGAAAAAGGTTAATAAAAGAGAATGTTAGGATGCCAGAAGAACATGTCTTAGCCTTCTATACACACAAATTTATGTTTAATGATATATTTATTTACTTTTTTATTTAGTTAAACTGATTTTTTATTTATATGTATGGATGTACACACATCCCAGTTTGTATTTGAATGGTTTGCTCTGTCATAAATTGATAAACCAAACAGACCAGCATGTTAAACTTAGCTGAAGTAAATAATTTTAACCAATGTGCAACTTTGCACTACTTTTACTGAATTGGGTTGAGTGATATCTTTAATATAACTAGTCTGAAATAAGGCAGTGTGTGTTTTGCAGGTAATAAAGCTGACAGTGTAAGGAAGCATCATCCAGTACAGTAGTATGTTTGATAGCTGAGAAGGTACAAGTTTGCATAGTTGCAACCTCATGGAATGCAAATTTTACTACAGAATTACAAAGATGCCTATTTTCTGAATGTGACTTAAAGGCCAACCAAGCCTGTAGAAAGGCAGTTCTCAAAATCACAGGATCTTTCTGGCTAGAAAATCATCTATTGCAGCCCCTGGCACAACATGTCCCAGTGTTTCCAGGTTCAAAAATGGACAAAATATAAGTTCCTTAACTTTTGAATAATATGATCTAGTTTTTGCTGTTGTTGGTGGTTTTGTTTTGTTTTGTTTTGTTTGACATTGCCATTAGCAATGTAGATACCATGTTGATGCCTCTGTCTTTGTTTTGTTCAGGATATCCCACAGTGTCTTTCTGCCACTCATCCTTCCCAGTGCTGATCACATGGAGCACTTGGAGCACTTGGACTATCAGTTAACCTAATTTTCCTGTGCAGCAAGGATGTGTATGCAGGGCACTGGTGTTGTTCCTGGCTGCCAGTACAGGTCCAGCCCACTGTTTTTATTTAGTGTCTGGAAACAGTAAAGACGCTAAATGTGTCCTAAAATAAAAAAGTTAAGGGAACAAGAAAAAGAACTAATGCACTGTGGGGACAACATTTGTACAACTTATCTCACTAATGAATTTATTAGGCTGGACATGGAATCAGGAAGATAATATATACCAACATAAATGCCTCACTACATGTTTTCTTTGATGTTGGAATAAAAGGATTGGAAAAGAAACACTAGAAACTAGACACCCAACCTATAACTGTAATTAAAATACACTTGGTATGTTAAGCATTTCTGTGACTGCTGTGTCACTACCATGACATTGGAATCAGAATGTATAAACATTATAAAAACATTTTTGGGTTAGCAAATACGGAGTTTAAGAGCCACATGAATGCATCTTTACAGCATGACCTCAATTTTTAGTTCAGGTACAATATCTGTGTGTATTTGAAGTTTTTATAGAACATGCTTATTTCTTGGTGTGGTAGTTCCCATTTACACAGAAATCCTATTGCAGAACATTGTGATCCATTAGTAATGAGGTGTAAATCTTCACTGGAAGTACCTCAGCACTGTTCAGTCTTTCAAGCCAACAGCTGAGTACTATTCTGATCCTTTTTTTCAAGACTACCAGACTCCTGGAGTTTCCTATGGCTAAAGTACACTAATCCTTAGAGCAGCAATCCTCATTAGAAAGGGGAGAAAGGAAAAGCCATGACACTTTGGACTGGAAATTTTCTCAACCGAGGCAGAAAGGAGTCAGAAGGTATATTGAAAAGGGAGACAGGGAAAATATGTCTTTTTGCTACAGAGCTGCCACATACGTGTCTTAGCAGAGATTTGCTTAAGTGGAAATGCTTGCCTATAGCATGGTTTCTGCTGCCATCTTTGATCAAGGCATGCAAGACTTGCATTAGTATATTTTGAAAATTAAGGTAATTTAGGAGAAAATGCCCAGAGCTCATATCAGCCTCTATTCTTGTAAAACGTGTGTTTTGAAAAATCTTGAAAGTTTACTGCAGCTTGACTATATTTTAACAAAATTACTCAGAATATTGTCGTATTTCATCAGAAAGGGCTGAAGAAAGCGCTTGTGATTTTTTTGCTCAAGGCAGGTCAGTGGTTTTTAATGATGTTTTCTGCATTATCTGTAGAAATCAATTTAAACAATGTGCTAATGTGAAAAATTTGTGATGGACTTCAACCTTGCATCTCAAGTGTTTGCTATAACACTTTTGAGTTTATTTAAAAGACTCTTCCCTGGGCTACAATTAGAGACTTCATTGTGATTTAATTAAAAGCAGCAGCTTTTCTATTGCTGAGCCTCTTTTCAATGCCTGGGTTTGTTCTCTCAGACTGAAAAGATGGCAAGTCCAAGCTTTACCTGGGGCAATGAGAAGGAAATTAGAGAGTACAATGAGATGCGGCAGGTGGCATTATTACCACCACAGCTGGGAAATGAGAACAACTGCATCATAGACCATAGAGGTTCAAGTCACCATTTATTCACAAACACGACAGGAACTGGAAATCATACAGTTGGATTGTCTACCTGCAAACATTTTAGCACTAAATTGCTAGTAGGTTTAGGAAGTAAGGACACACACCTCCATCCTCAGTCCAAGAGAGACCTGGACATACTGGAGAGAGTCCAGCATAGGGCTACCGAGATCATGAAGAGACTGTAGCACCTTTCCTGTGAGGACAGGAAGAGAGCTGGGACTGTTCAGCCTGGAAAAGAGAAGGCTCAGGGAGATCTTATCCATGTCTATAAACACTTGAATGGATGGTGCAAAAAAGAAAGGGTGCCCAGTGGCAGGACAAGAGACAATGGTCACAAACTAAAACACAGGAGGTTCCCTCTGAATATCAGGAGGCACTTTACTGTGTGGGTGATGGAGTACTGGCACAGCTTGCAGAGTCTCCATCCTTGGAGATCTTCAAAAGCCACCAGGACATGATCCTGGACAACCTGCTCTGGGTGTCCTTGAGCAGGGAGGTTGGACCAAATGGCCTCCAAAGGTCCTCTGCCAATCTCATCTGATACATGGAAAAATTTGCTGTAGACAAATTGTAAGACCATTCATTTAGCAGAAAAGTCTTCATCCTGAAAGAGGTTTAAATGACAGAATTGATGGCATCATATTTTTATTTTCTCCAAGAGATATTATACTTGCTTTTGTTTCCTATGGTATTTTCTTGCTGATTAATAATGCAACCCAGATCCTTAGTGGCCTTAAGATCAGCATATCAATTAGTTTTTGCTTTTCATTTATTCTAAACTTCTTTGGAGTCCAGAACTTGCTTTCTGTCCAACAACAGGTCTAAGGGCTCTCAATAAAATCAACATATGGCATGGCTGAATGTCTATTTAATGGGCAGGATATATGCATGTGTTCAGCTACTCTGGGCCTGACCTGGTACAACACTTATGAGCTTCCATCACCAGGAGATTACCCAAATTTTATTCTGCTTGTCTTTCAAGAGAAAGTAATCCTCTGTTTGTATGCCAAACAACCTCTTTCTCTTGCCCCCAGATTCTGCTTGGTACAGGCAGAGCTACACATAAAAAAACTGTATCAAGAAGACACAGGAGAAGGGAAGAAGACTCTGAAGGAGTATGATTATGTACATCATCAGAAAAGAGGGAAAAACAGTTGGTTAAAAAATTTGTTCCAAGTTATTGAAGAAATGAATGATGCTGGGACTGGACAAGGATAAAATGCATGCAGCTGCATTACATGCAGCTAGTTGGAGACTTATTTCTCTGACTGCTATATTTCCACTAATGTTTTCAAAAAGCATTCTTATTTCCAAGATTTTTCTTAACTGGAATGTGAATGCCAGCAGTTGATAAAGCTTCATCCCTCTTCTTTGCAGAACAGAGACGTCCTGCAAAACAATGAGCATGTTTAGATGGTTTATTTCTTTGCCAGGCCTTCAATTCCAGCCTTGCTATATGGCAGAGAAAAATAACGAGAGAATTAAATAGAAAAGCCTCTGGCCATCTGCACACAAGAGATCAGACAACACACCTTCCCAAGAATGGGGCTGCCTCAACAAACCAAGCTGGAGCAGGAGTCAGCCCACTCAGCCAGTGGAGGAAGCACTGCCTCTCTTTCAATTCCTTAGAGCATATCAGCATTATAATTTTTGAAGCCAGTCAGCTAACTGTATGTGGTATGTGGTATTGTGGTATTCATCAGCTGAAGTTTGTAATCCAGGAATTCTTCCTCACAGCTTTCTTAAATGAAAATTTACTTAAAGTCTCTGCACATACATTTTGTGAATGGACACAGTAGGTCATCCTGTCCTCATTTGAAGCCACGGTTGCGGAGCTGCTGAATCCAGCCCTGTGTGATTAGAATTGCTTTACAACAAACTGTTCCCAAAGCCTTCCTACAGGCGTATTTGTTTTTGTTCCCTCTGTCTGCTTGGTAAAAACTCCTGAAAAATCTTTGTGGGATATTTTCTATTGAGTCTGTTGTTGTGATCAACCATTTGATCATGTTCTTCCTTTTTGTGATTTCTGTGGAAAAACAAATCCGTATGTCTCCCTGTTAATCAGTGCAGTTGACCCTGCTGATGCAGATGAACAGTGTGCTGAATCTTTAATAGAAAATGAGTTATGGATGAGTGATTGACCAGATAAAATTAAAACAACACCTAAAGGGAAGGGAAGGCAGACAAAAAGAAGTTATGTAAGTGCTTCTGATAGATGGAGATACCTGCATTATTTTTCTTTTCTTTTTTTTTTTTTTTCTCTCTTTCTCTCTCTCTCTCTCTCTCTCTCTCTTTCTCTTTCTCTTTCTCTTTCTCTTTCTCTTTCTCTTTCTCTTTCTCTTTCTCTTTCTCTTTCTCTTTCTCTTTCTCTCTTTCTCTTTTTTTTTTCTTTTTTTTTTTTTCCTTTTTTTTTCTTCTTCTTCTTTTTTTTTTTTTTTTTTTTAAC